TGGCATGTGAGGTGTTCACGGATCACAAGAGTCTGCAGTATTTGTTCAAGCAAAAAGAGTTGAAGGCAGAAAAGGTGGTTGGAGTTGTTGAAAGACTGATATCACCATCTTATATCATCCGGGAAAGGCCAATGTGGTGGCCAATGCTTTGAGTAGGAAGTCAGCCAGTATGGGCAGTCTTGTTTATATTCCGGTCGGTGAGAAACCACTTGCTTTGGATGTTCAGGTTTTGGCCAATCAGTTCGTGAGATTGGATGTTTCTGAGCCCAGCCGTGTGTTAGCTTGCACAGTCGCTCGTTGTTCATTATTGGAGCGTATCCGAGATCGGCAGTATGATGATCCCCATTTGTGTGTCCTCAGAGACACGGTGCAGCACGGAGGTGCCAAGCAGGTTACCTTGGGTGACGATGGAATTTTGATATTGCAGGGTCGAGTTTGTGTGCCTAATGTGGATGGACTCTGAGAGTTGATTTTAGAGGAGGCCCATAGTTCCCGGTACTTTATTCATCCGGGCGCCGCTAAGATGTATCAGGATTTGCGACAGCACTATTGGTGGAGGAGAATGAAGAAGGATATCGTTGTGTATGTGGCTCGGTGTTTGAATTATCATCACGTTAAGTACGAGCATCAGAGGCCCGGTGGTTCATTTCAGAGGATAGAGCTTCCCGAGTGGAAGTGGGAGCGGATCACTATGGATTTCGTTGTTGGACTCACACGGACTCAGAGGAAGTTCGATGCAGTGTGGGTTATTGTTGATAGGTTGACCAAGTCAGTGCATTTCATTCCTGTGGCAGTCTCCTATTCTTCCGAGAGGTTAGCCAAGATCTATATCCGAGAGATTGTTCGTCTTCATAGTGTGCCCGAGTCTATCATTTCGGACCGAGGTACGCAATTTACCTCACGCTTCTGGAGAGCAGTTCAGCGAGAGTTGGGCACGCGGGTTGAGTTGAGCACAGCGTTTCATCCTTAGACGGACGGGCAGTCCGAGCGAACCATTCAGATTCTGGAGGATATGCTCCGAGCTTGTGTTATTGACTTTGGAGGCTCTGGGATCAGTTTTTGCCTTTAGCAGAGTTTGCCTACAACAACAGCTACCAGTCAAGTATTCAGATGGCTCTTTATGAGGCTTTATATGGTAGGCGGTAGGATGGTTTGAGCCGGGAGAGGCTCGGTTGTTGGGTACGGATCTGGTTCAGGATGCCTTGGACAAGGTCAGGATCATTTAGGATAGGCTTCGTACAGCTCCGTCCAGGAAAAAGAGTTATGCTGACCGCAAGGTTCGTTATTTGGCATTCATTGTCGATGAGCGGGTATTGCTTCGAGTGTCACCTATGAAGGGCGTGATGAGATTTGGGAAGAAGGGCAAGCTTAGCCCTAGGTTCATTGGCCTGTTCGAGATTCTGGATCGAGTGGGAGAGGTGGCTTATAGACTGGCGTTGCCGCCAAGCTTATCAGCCGTGCATCCAGTGTTTCATGTGTCCATGCTTCAGAAATATCACGGCGATCCATCCCACGTGTTAGATTTCAGCACTGTCCTGTTGGACAAGGAGTTGTCTTATGAGGAGGAGCTGGTAGCTATTCTAGACCGGCAGGTTCGTCAGTTGAGATCGAAGAGTTTTCCTTTTGTTCGTGTTCAGTGGAGAGGTCAACCTCCTGAGGCATCGACCTGGGAGTCCGAGTCCGATATGCGAAGCCGTTATCTCCATCTTTTCCCCGACTCAGGTACTTCCTTCTTTTGTCCGTTCGAGGACGAACGATTGTTTTAGAGGTGGAGAATGTGATGACCTTTACTTGTTTTAAAATGAAATTCGATTTTCCGAGGCCTTAAAAACCTCTTTTAGCATCACCTCAATTTGCGTACGCAGTCTGGGCGCATAGCCGGAAAGCTTATATGTGAAAATCTGTGGAAAATGATAAATTTTGGCTATAAAATTAGTTAATTTAACTTCGGTCAATGTTTTGGGTAAACGGACCCGGACCCGTGATTCGACGGTCCCAGACTTTTTGCAGCGACAAAAGTCGCTACAAAAGCCCAGAAAGTCGCTACTAGCTTGCTGCAAGTAAATCCATTACTAAAAGTTTCTTGTGGCGATATATAGATCGCCACAATTGGTATGAATTAGTGGCGACTGAATACGCCACAAAAGGTAATTCCTCGAAATGGATTTTATTCAAGTCGCTGCTGTAAAATGACCTTTAGCGGCAACCTTAGTCGCCGCTAAAACTATTTAATCATCAGTGGCAACTATTATGTCGCCACTATAGAATGCCTAGTAGCGACTACACTCCGCCACAAAAACTATTAAACTATCAAAACATAATGATGTTTAGAGGCAACTGTAGTCGCTGCAAAAAGCATTATACCTTTAGTGGCAACTCTCCAATTCGCCACAACTAATATTTTGTGACAAGGTTCTGTCGCCACTACAACTTATTTATTCAGCAACCATAATGACCACAATTATACTATATTTCTAGTGGCAACCAATTGTCTAAAATTAAAATACAAATATATTTCTATCAATTGCCTACAAGTTTCAAGAGAATCCAGTATTGTCCACCAAACACCCAAAAGTTCTCAAACAAAATATTAAAATTACTTCCATTACTAAAAAGTCAATTACAATATAGATCACACAATACTTTATTATTAATTTTCATTCTATGCATATACATATGTTGAAAAAAAAACATTAAGTGCCTTCAAACTCCTCCTTGGTCCACACCATTGTTTATGAACCTTGGACCTTGGACCTGTTATTAAAGTAAAAACAAACACAAGATCACTTTGAAAATTCTCACAATTTAATGCAAATAGTAAAAAAAAAAAAAAAAAAAAAAAGGGTGACAATAATCCCAAAACTTAAATGAAAGATCAACTCTAAATAGAACTAGGCAGTGTACATTTGTGTAAGAGTTATTCTATCAGAAAGAAGATTGTTCATATATCAATACATTTGAAATTCAATGGCAGTAATTCTACCAAAAATCCATATCATGTGTTTCTCAAGTAGGATGCATCTTAAGAATGATATTCAACAGATGATACAGGGTAATGTTATAAACAAGTGCATAAGACTTGCTTACAATTTTATCACTCTAAATCCTGGAAGGATATGACACGAGCTTTATATTATCACTATCAAAATATTTTCAAAGAAAAGACACCAGAAATGGTAAACTTCTTAATGGCAGAAAATGGACCTAGTTCGATGGAACTTGATAGTTTCATTCTTTAGTGTAATTAAAGACTACTGTTGTAACACAAGGGTCAAAAGCTTTAGAATAAGCTAACACATCAGATCTGAGAAGCCTGTTTTTTTTTTTTTGATAAGGTAACATCAGATCTGAGAAGTCTATTTCAAAGTTCCATATTTAAAAGAGCATGTAAATGACGCAGGCTACAATATCTTTATCCATTCTAACAAAAAACATAAGTATCGGTCATTACTAAAATTCACTTCTAAAGTCTATTCAGGTTGAGTCAGATGAAAAGGCCATATATTAAAGATATAGAATCCAATTTCCTTCTATGATCATACCAGGTCATGAAGTGTACAAAAATATTAGAAGTACCTGTTGCATTCGGGTCATCAAAGCAGCTTATTGTTCTATATCCACTTGTTCACGCTCCTCTTCCAACCTCCTTTGCAACTCTTGTTCCATATTCATTTGCAACTCGTCTTTCCATGCTCTAAAAAGCCTCTGCATAGTGCTGATCACAAAGGCTTGCAACTTATGATTTCGCAGCCCGCCACAAACTTCAGATTTATCCTAAACACAAATGTAACATTATGTTTGATATTCATGCCAAATATAGTCAGTAAAGCACCGGTTCTACTTCAATACTGATTTTATTTATGAAATTAAAGACATAAGCATCATGAACTATATTTGTGAAATACTTAGAACTGAGACATGAAAATTTATACTATTGTATAATAAAAAATGCAGCGAACTAAACCATGACACTCAATTAGACATCGTTTTTACCATGAAAAGTATCTCTTTCTCTTCCTAGTTCCTAATCTTACAACATTTCTTGACAGCTTACCGTGTTATCAGTATTTAGAAAGTTAACTCCTCCTTCAAAGAATTGATATATAACTAATAAAACAAAAAGTAAATAACCATCTGGAATTGGAGCAAGATGGAAAAATATGCAGGTCCCATCACCAAACCCTTGTAACTGTTTGATTCAGTTCATACTCAATAATTTTCAATGTTTGAAACCATTAAAGTAAGAAACTCAAACTATATTTGAGAAACAACATCAATAAAAAGTAGGACAAGTATTTTTTACTTGTAAAACTATAAAAGGCTCATTTCAAAAGCAGTAAGCAGGTTCCATCTTTTGGTTTCACTTTCCTTCATAAATAAACTAGATGAGAGTGCCCGCGCCATGCTCGGGCCTTTGCATTATTTAAAGGCACGTCACATATGTCTAAGAGGTATTCAACATTGTAAATGAGAGTTATGTACCATTTTCACAAGTAAAGAGGAAGCTTCAATGGTAAGTCAAAAATCTTTATAATTGCTTGACAAGAAAAAAGAGACAACAATTAAACATAACTAATATTACATGCCACCAAACTCACATATACAACTACAATTAAGAATAAATATCCGGGTAAGCACGCCGCCCAAAAAAAGGCAAAATGATTTTTTGTATTATTTTCAACATAACAGATACCATTTTCCTTCAAAAAATTTGAGAAACCATAAGAATGTACTCTTATATGTGAACCAAATAGCACTTCTCATAGGACTTTTCTCCTTCCTGTATAAAATAACGTAAGACTGTGAGCAATGGTATATCTTCCACCGGATAAATCGAGAAATTGGAAAAATGATTAGGCACCATTTCTATACCTTCTCAGAGGAATCCAGTTTGAATGTAGCATAACCGCTTTGCTTCATAGAAACAAATCCGGAAGTAATACATCATAAGATGAGGAACAGTGTCCATATGAACTCTTTGAAAATAAACACGAGAATATATTTTCGTTTACATTATTCATTGTCACCAAGGTAGTCTGTTAACTCTTCTTTGCCAGAAGCCAAATGCGAAAAGCACACCAGAAACAAAGATATAAAATGAACATGTAATAATCAGTTAGAGGATGATAATGCATGAAGCAGAAAAAGCAGCCAGTACTATTGATGATGCTGGAAGATTAAAGCATTAGAACAAACCTACCCCACACTCTAGCATCAAAAAATCTATTTTCTACGCAGTAATCTTAGGAAAATTTGCCTGAAAATTTAGAAGGCACTACACAAAAAGTTTCAAAAGAAGTTACACAATGCAACCACTACCCTCCGTTAATTAAGTAAACCAAATAGCAATCACACGTCACAACAATTTACAAGCATTCCTCAGCACAAAGATATGGACAAATACAAATTTAGGTGGTGAGATTTTATATGTGAATATTGAGAGCAGTAGTACTAAAAGAAAATATGATTACATAAAGGCATTGAAACTTTGAGAGCTTACCTTTCTTGTTGTATAGCTAGAATTGCGGCTAACTCATCCAAGCTAACAACACCATCCCTATTTCTGTAAGCTTGTTTGAATAGCTCTGCTTCTGAAAAGCAGAATAATCAACATCTAAGCAGTTGTGCTTATAGGCAAAACCTTCAAGGTGTTCATACCTAGATTCTTATGCTGGTTTAGGGGCTTTCAAAATGCAATTCTGCTATGTTGGGAAATGATCATTAATGACTTGCATAGTTATACATCTTTTATCTGATTTGCCAAAGGATTCTTTATTGAAACAAATAAGAAATTGGGAAACATGTGGCATGAAGAGTTGATAAGAACTACAAGTATATTTAAGATGATCTTCAGATGAGAACCATCTTACCTGCTAGTGGATTTCCAAATGCATCAGCCAAATCGGAGAATTGGGTCAACAAAAGCTATCCATCTTCTTTACGGTCCTGCATAGAGCGACAACTCTCAAATTCAAGAATCATCTCAGTATGTCATTTTTATTATATATCTCATTTGAGTATCAAACGAATCGGATAAGAAAGTCGATCACATGAAAATATTACCATGTTAGAGATAACAAGAATATTAAATATAGAAAAGCATATGCAGCAAAGTAAATCATTATCCAACTATATCCAATTAACAGGTTAATTACAAATTGGAGTTCCTTGACCCATATAAAGTGCAGGGTTAAAAATGAAGTGCAAGCTAGGCAATGACGAAGAAATCTTGTTTGCATTAAAATATAAAACTATTCAGAAACTTTTTTATTAGAAAACTCTTAATAAAGCAATTTAATGAATCAAACAGATCACAAGATATTCATTTGCTAGGGGATGAGACAAAATAATTAACTAAACCATTCTTGTTGGAATCCACATTAATACCTACTGCAATGAAGATATTGACAAAAAGGGCATTATTAACCAGCAAATGTCGAGGAATTGCTGCTTTAATCTCTCTTTTCCATTCAGGCATGTTTTGGAAAAGGAAATGTTCATTTCCATTTAAAACAAAAGTAATGCCTCAATACATTTCCGTTCAGGCAAGTAAGGAGCAAGAGCAAGATATCATGAAATAAATATAAGTATCGCCTCAACGCACCAAACCGACAATACACTCTACACCTATAAGTGTTGCACTTTGAACCTTAAACATCACATTTCAATCTTACGGTACTGGTTCACTTTATTTTATCTAAAATTATATTAAAAAAAAATATCATTTGAAAGGCAAATGTTACATTATTCTTGTTTTTAAGAAGAAAGTATTTCATTAATGAAGTCCTTTTCTTTGCAAAACTTACAAAATTTGAGATACCCAATGTAATATCAAATATTCAATCACAATAACAACACCAAAAGGTCTAGAATTTCAAAAAATAAAATAAAGCTTCAAGCACATCCAAAGAAAGAGATAACTGAGAGACGACCGTCAAGACCGAGAATCGACATTATAGGGGAAATAAAATAAAGATAGATAGACATTGTACCTTCAAAACTTCGAACAGCTTACCTTCGCAATGATTTTCAAACTTTGAATCTTCCTCCTTCCTTCTTTGGCTTTAGACGATCGGCTATTCCTATAGATTTTAAAGTGGGTCAAAGAAATTTGAGGTAAAATCTGAGAATATAATTATCACCGTAAAGAATTTGGGACTTGAGCACATACCGGATGGAGTTACAATTCACAATGTGCGATTAGGGCTTTTAAGTTGTCTCTACCGAGTGGTTCACATGTTGTGATTTGAGCGATTTGAGAGATTGTGAGAATGTTTGAGCGGAGAAAATATTGAGAATTTTATGGAGAAGAAACGCAGCAAATAACTACTATTGGAGCAAAGAAACCTAGCGAAGAGAGCATTTGATATTTTTGGACATTAGTACTTTTTTCTATTTTAAAATAAAATCAATTATTCTGTTTGGACTTTGGAGGGATAGTCGCTCCAAGTTGTCCTTTTGAGGCGACTATTTACAAGGCGCTGCTAGAACTATGGAGCCAAAATTAAGTTCTTAGCGGGAATGTAAAATTTGGTACTAGTAGCGCATATTTGCAGCAACCTAAAATCCTCGCCACTAAATATTTACCTTCTGCAACGACTTTTTAAACTCGCCGCTAATAGTATAATATTTGTTGCAACAAATAGAGTCGCCACTAAATGTTGCGACAAAAAGTCCCTTTTCTTGTAGTCCGTGGGATTTTTTTGAGGTTGTGTGTATATTAAGGCTGCTCGGTGGGCCGGGCCTGAACCGGACCGGACCGAGCCCGCGGTCCTAACGGGCCTGGTGGGCCGATCCTGGGTGGGCCGGTCCTGGTGGTCCTCNAGTAGTCGCCAACCTAGACGTCCTCCTCCTTCCGTAATTCTTGATAGTGATCACCCTTGTTTTCAATTTACCGATAGTGAATTTTATCATAATGTTGCACCAGGTGATAGATTAGATGATGAAATTATGAATGCTCTTTATCCTAATGAAACCATCTTAGAAAATAATGAGGAAAATGAGGATGATGATGAAACTCAAGCACCGGATTTAGATGATACACCTACTAGTCCTCTTAATAACCCAAGTGATGCACCGGTCGACCCACCTGTAGAAACTCCTACTTTTAATAGAGAACCTGCTAAACGCTTAGAAACATCATTAGTTTGGAATTTTTTTACTCAAGTAAGAGAAAAAAATAAGGCTAAGTGTAAAACTTGTGGGAAATTAATGTCGCATAAATATGTAGGAGACCGTAGCGGCACAGGTAGTTTGACTAGGCACATAAAAACACACCCTAGAGATAAGGCTAGATTTTTTCAAATGAAAGCGCATCTAGAGGGGACAAGTGTAGATTCTGCGATTAACCCTAGTACAGGTTCAAATCTAGTTCAACCAGGAATTAACACTGTCACTGGAGGTATTTTATATTACGATCCAAATAGAGATCGTGAAGAATTAGCAAAGATGATTACTGTTATGTGCTTACCTTATACTTTTGCTTCTAATCCTAATTGGGTTCATTATATTAGAAGAGTGTTTAATCCTACTTATAAAGGTTGGCCTCGCGCAACAGTTAAGAGTGATATTTATAAATTCAAACATGAATATGAACAATATTTGCGTTATTTATTTACTCATATACCTAATCGGATTTCTATTACTACTGATATTGGTAGAAGTGGTAATGATTGTGATTACCTAACTGTTACAAGTCATTGGATAGATGAAGAATGGATAATGCAAAAACGCATAATTGCATATAGAATAATTAATTCGCGTCACACAGGTAAATTTATAGCTAACACTGTTGCAGATATTTGTAGATATTTTTGCTTTAGCGATAAAATAATGGCAATTTCAATGGATAATGCTTCTAGTAACACCAGTGCTATAGGCATGTTTACAACAACACTAAATCCTGCATTTACTAATATTTTCCATGTTAGATGTATTTGTCATATTTATCATTTAATTGTCGGTGATGGTATGCGAATATTAAACATAGAAATTGAAAAGGTTAGAATGGCTCTTAATTGGCTTTTTTATTCAAACCGTAGAAGTAGACTTAGAGAGTATTTTAAAAAATGTGATGAATATGGCCTTAGAGAAAGAAAGGTTCCTAAACCTTGCCCGACTAGATGGAATTGTATGTACGAAAGTTTAGTAGTAGCATATGAATATAGAAACCCAATTAATGCAACGTTTAATTCTCGGGTAGGTGGTGAAGATGATGATGAAATGCTTACCACTCAAGATTGGACTAATGTTAAAATTCTTTTAGATTTTTTAGAACATTTTCAAATTGCAACAAATGCATTTTCTGGGCAATATTATCCTACTATTTCAAACTGTTTAGTTTATATTGCAGCACTATCTGATTTGTTTGTTGAATTTAGTGAGGGTGGGGATATTTATGAACTTGCTATAAATGAAATGAAACAAAAGTTTAAAAAATATTTTTTTCCTATCCCTCCTATTTATGGTCTTGCTGCAATGCTAAATCCTACAATGAAATTGGGAGGTCCTCATTTTTGGTATTCAAATATTTATAAGGCTTTAGATCTTTCAAATGAGGAAATTGCGACACTTGCAGATGCAAAAGCTTCAATTAAGATTAACGCTCAAACAGTTTATAATGCTTATCAACTTGCCTTAGAGCATGCTAGGCCAACTATTCCAACCCCTACTTCGTCTAGCTCACAATCCTCTAAAAGAGTTGCGGGCTTAAAAGCTCTTAAATCTTGGACGGAGTTCAGGGGGTCTCAAGGTGAAAATTATGATGAAACTTCACATCTAAATGAGCTTCAAGTTTATTTGTCTCAGNATTCTTCTTCCCTTGTTTTAAATATGTCAGCCATAATTATATCAAGTATAACTTCTTGTAAGTCTCTATTTAATTTAATCACTTTAAGAATAGTGATCAATACCTTATCATCAAAAAACATGGTATAATAATTCATAATCTATTCTAAATATTCCCGGGATAGAAAATCCGGAAGGGAATTATCAATTCCTTTTTTGTATTGTATTTCAAAATCGAAAGGCGCCAGCTGAGCCTGCCATCTAGCAAATATTAATTTAGAAGCATCGTGCTGGTTGGTTGAGAGAGAGGAGAGAGAAAGTAGAGAGAGGGGGGTTCCGGCCTTCCTTCTTCAAATGAAGAAGCATCCTTATACAACCAAAAAAAAAGAATCTTGAATAGTAAAATGGGTCCCACATCTGGGTCCCTACACAGTGTT